TGGTCACTGGCTACCCCAAAGCAGCTGTGTGAGTGGTTTATCCTAAATGGCCACCTCCTCTCTGCGAATGTAGAAGAGAATGTAGGCGTGACTCTTCTGGACGGTGTCCTCGCTGCAGGCGGTCACCGTGGAGTCGTTGAAGTGGTGCCAGCAGTTGTCGTGCGTCGCATAGGAGGTGTAGTGGCCGGAGGCGATGCCGTTGCCGTGGTGGACGATCACTGCCGCCAGGTCGTACAGCGTCGACTTGGAGTTGCCGCAGTTGGAGTTGCGGGTTTCGTGCTGTCCGTAGATAACGTTAGTTGAATCGTTAGCCTGACTGATAGCTAATCAAATCTCTCTCTTCCTTCTCCACTTACCATATTATTCAGTATAAAGTTGCTCATGTCGAGGTCCTTGATGGGAAACTCCACGTGCATGTCCAGCTTGCTGCGGTACGTGTTGGTGTACTTGAAGCGCTTCAGGTGAAGACAGAGCACCTGGTCAACAGAAAAAAATGGTTAAAATGTTAAAAAAATGCAGTAGTTACGAGTTTTTGCTGCTGCTGCTTACATTGGGAAGCCGACGAATCCAGAACTTCTTGGTGGACTTTTGCTTCTGCTTGCAGTTCGGGCAGTTGTAGAGTTCAGTCTCCGCCAGCTCTTCCAGCTCGGTGAACTTGTTTAGACACTCTGATTCAATTGCAAAGTTAGAAAACATCAGTTAATGAAAAGATATTTTCAATATTGCCCGACAGACTTACCAGTCAGCTGGCACACGTCAAGCGACGTTGGAACAGCTCCCTCCTGACAGTACCGTTGTGGAATATCCAGTGACAAGTCTGTCGAAAATGGAAAAGGTCAGTGTTGTGAAAAAGAAAGAAGTCATTCGAAATGACTCTTACCAAAGAAGGGATCCAGCTTGATGGACTCAGTGCCGCAGATGAGACAGCGCACCTCATTCTGCAGCGTGCCGCCGAAGATCCGGTGGACCATGTTGGCGTTCATGCCGTTCATCACCTTGGCCGCCCGGCTCGGCGAGAGGCTGCTGAAGCCACCGCCACCACCGTTGATGATACTTCCATTGCCATTGCTGGTCGGACAGATGGCCACCAGCTCGGTGGCCAGACGGTCGAGCATGTACCGGAGAAACTCGTGAGCGTCCTGTTGGTGGTAGCCGCGAAATCGAGGCACAATCTAAGGAAAGAAAAGGGAAAAAAGGTGAGTGATTTTGTGTAAACAAAAACAGTATAATCAGCGTAAAGGCCATTTCATCGCGAGCCATTTCATCGCGAGCCTTTTCATCGCATGCCTCAATCAACGTACCTTCCACATGACACCGTACAGGGACGACGGCGAAATCGCAGACTTGGTGCCCTCCAACAGCAGAACAATGGTCTTTCGAAGCTCCTCAGCGACGAGACTGTTGTTTTTGGTGGAGAATAAAGAAGGTTAGTTTTTGGCTAAAAATCAAGAGAATAGTTAAGGTACTTACACATCAATGGTGATTATGTTTTTTGGACTTTGATTGCGCAACTGCGGAATATTCTCCAGTGAGGGCAGTTGTGTGAAGTAGTACCGAAACAGATCAATGTTGCTGATTAGATGGAGGGTCAAGATAAGATTAGAAAATGATTAGAGGTGCGATCATAGTGAAGTGGAACTGGTTTTTTACTTACCAGAGCGATTGCACTACTGCATTCATGAAGCAAGTGTTGCCAAGATTCCTGAGACCGGATGCCTTCAGTTTGCATTGAGCTTTCATCTGATAAGAAAAAAAAATTTAGAACAAAAGTTACGGAGAAAGCTAAAAAGAGTAAACAGTTACCATCTTTTTGTTCTTGCTACTAAGAGTATTGTCATTTTCATTTTCAGGCTCGTACTCGCTGGGAACTGCAAGTACGGCGATTCTGCAGTGAAGAAAAAAGAAGGGGTTAGCAAATTATAAATTAAGCAGCAAATTCGAAAACTCACTTCTTCTTGTGGGTACTCTGCAGAATGCGCCGCAGTCGCTTGAAGTACTTGTAATTGTCCTCATTCACTACAAAGTCATCACAGATATAGCTGTCAAGGTGTAGGTAAACAAAGAAAGAAACGAAAGTGCAATGAAACGTCAGATCATCCTCATCACACCCCCTTATCAATTATCACCACTCCCTACCAGTAGATGGACATTTGGTGGCAGTCAATGGAGATGATGTGCTCCCTCTCCAGGTAGTGCTCGGCGGCGTGCCCCTTGACATCGCGACCACAGTTAAGAATACCACAGTGAATGCACATCCATAGGTTGCGCTTGGAGCGACACACTAGGGAGGGAAGACAGACCATTGTTAGACAATAATAAAAGAACATGCTAATGAGAAGAAGTTGCACTTACCCGAGCACTGCAACGTCTTCAGCTCGAGGCCCTCCTTGATGAAGGGGTTGCTAATCTTGGTGATGCCACTCAGGTGGGGACAGTCCATGCTGCTGCTGCTGCTGCTGGCACTGCTTCTGCTGCTAGTGCTGGTGGTGGTGGTGGTGGCACTGCTGGCCCCAACTAGTATTACTAGAGGGCTGTGCAGAGTACAGCCTCTGGTGCAAATGAGTGGTCTGAATTGAAGATGGAAACGGTAGTTTTGGTGTTGGTGGTTAGCCAGTCAGGTCGTCGTAGTGAGGCCAGTGAACAAGAAAGCAAGAGAGAGGGTAGTGTGAAGCAGGGTGGAAGGTCGCCTGAGTGAGTGAGTGAGTGAGCGAGCCAGCGAGAGAGGGAGAAAGAATCGCTAGTGTTGCTCGCAGTGGCTGCGTCTGCTGCTGCTTCTGCTCAGGATACTCAACTCAGGCGATCCAAGCACTGCAAAGGATACCACCACCACCACCACTGCTGCTGTGTCGTCTGTTCGCTTTGTGTCTACTCGGTGGCTCCTTCGACAGACTGACTGGCTGGCTGGCAGCGCACTTGGCACTGTCTCTCTCTCTCTCTCCTCCTCTTCTCCTTCCTCCCCCAGCCTTGACCGTGCTCGCGCCTACTTTCGCAATGTTCGTTGCGTTGTGAGGCTTGTGACGCAGCGTTGATCGACGTCGTCGACGACGTCGTGGTCGCGGTGGTCGTCCGATCAGGGGATCCTGTTCTGTGCGGTGATGTCTGCTCGGTCTGTGCTGTTGAATCGAGTGTGTTGCTACTATTGCTACTAGCCTGTCTGTGCTGACTGGTTGGCTGCGAGCGACTGTCCACTCCACTCACTTGGGTCCGCTCACTTTGCCAGTCGGGGCCATCGAACTGCGTCTCTGCCAGCTGCGTGGACGGGCCCATTTGATCGGATCGGTTCTCCAGAATCAGAGTGAGAGAGAGAGCACGCTTCTCTGGGGTGCATTTCAGTGGCTACTGCATTGTTACTGAAGGGAGGTAAAATTCAGAGGTAGAGAATCAAGATTTTCTGTGATCACTGTTGATCATTACTTCTTGGTGTTGGCAGTAGTGACTTTTTAGAAATATTTCCAAACTGAAATTGGTGGCCAAAGATAAAAGTCGGGCAAAAGAATCCGATTCGTTGTTGATGGTTATTAGCCCGTTTATACGCTGTCAGTTGTTGCTAGCACAGTGCAAATCAGCTGCAGCCACCGTCGCCGCATGTGACTGTGCAGAAAAAAGCGGTGCCAAACACTCGACGATCTGTCAACAGTTGTTGTCTTTCCTTTCTTTCTCCAAGATCATCCTGAAACAAATCTGCAAAGACAATGGCCACATTCTTCGGCGAAGTCAACGAGATCTCCTCACGTGCTGTCTGGTGGTCAGACTCGGAGGAGGAGGAGGAGGAAGAAGAACAGGACGCTGTTGAAGAGGACGGTGATGACTCCAAGCCAATAAAGAAGAGCAGCACTCCGAAGCCCACGGTCGCCTACCAGACGGAGATCCTCGATGACCAGCGCTGGACGACCTTCCAAAAGAGCGCCCAGCTGCTGTACGTTTCACTGGGCAAAGGAGAGAAGTCGAGGCCATCACAGTCTCTGGAAAATGATCTCCACCTCATTCTTCGCGTCAAAGTCGACGCTCTGGTTGGTGGAGGAAAGAAGGCCGTCACTGGTAAGTCGTTTTTGGCGATGAAAGCAATTTCGAAAATATGAACCAAACTTTTTCTTCAAACTCCAGGCAACATTGCCTCACTCTTTCACCTCTCCAATGGCGACTACTGGTTGCTGGTGGACAACAAGCTGGCCAACGGCGCCGAGCTGACCATCTTCTGTCCTCGTCTGGTCGATTACCTCGCCTCTGAGGTTCTACTTCGCACTGTGGCCCGCCTTGACCTGCTGCTTATCTCCAAGGAGCTCTCTCGCTGGGACTTTGTGCAGTACATTAGCAGCAGCAGCGGCAGCGGAAGCAGTTCGACAATGACCGACCGTCTGGCCCAGCTGGCCAAGGTGGTCGACCTGCGACCGATGCTGCCGCCGGCGACGGTGAAGAACGACCTGGAGCTCGCCCTCCTCGAGTACTGCATCATCTTCGGCAGCAAAAAGCAGGCAAAGTTCAACTTTGCCCTCCTTCTCCTGCCCTCAGAGTACGCCGAGACGCTCGACTTCCTGCCCAAGGCGGTCATTGCCAGCGTCGTCGAGTTTACCTTCTTCTCGCACCTGAACATCGTTTAATCTAAATGCTTTATGTGTGCTTTAACATGAACAACACATCCCTCTTAGGATGCGATTTGCTGTTGTATTTTCCTCCTCCTTCTCCCCATCAATCACTAAACGGTCCTACACTTTCTAAAAAGCAGCTCCTAATCCACCGAACGGTGTTCCTCTGGTCCGCTTCTGCGCCCGCCTCTTGCGCCACCGCTCCCCCCGCTCCACCTCATCATCGGAGTAGTCGACCTCCTCGGGCGGCGGCTCGTTGTTGTGCTTCCAGCTGGCGTCGCAGCCCTTCTCCCGCTCCAGCTGCTGCACAAAGACGTACCGGGTGAGGCTGTCCGGCCGGGCCGCCGCCGCCTGTTGCTCTTCGGCGTAGTAGACGGGCGCGTTGAGTGTCAGCTTGCAGTCGACCACCGCCTCTTCGGGGCTGTTGAAGCGCAGCACGTAGTTGGGCTGCTTCACCGGGCCGATCACGTCGAAGATTTGGCCTGAGGAGAGGGTGGGGGGGGGGAAGAAATAGAACTTTAGTGAGTACAAAAGTGTGAACTGATAACGGTGTGTGTCCTCACCGATGGACGTGCCCTCGCGGCAGAAGAGCACCGTGTCCAGGTCGAGGACGGGCACCGACTTGAAGGACTGCACCACCACCAGCTGGTTGACCATCGAACAGACGAGGCCCACCTGCGTCAGACAGCGCACGTCGACGCTGATCTGCAGGCGCTCCATCGGCGGAAGGTCGTCCACCGTCAGCTCGCCCTTGGTCACGCAGTGCTTCGCCTTTGACCTGCCTGATGGCTGCTGCTGGTTTTTGCCGTTGATTTTAGCCGAGGTATTATTGCCGTCAAAGTTCTCGTCTCCGTCCTCATCGTCGTCGTCGTCTTCGCTAAAGGCCGACCAGATGCTGAGGTCAGAGTCAGAGTCTGAGCTGCTGGAGTTGGAGTCCTCATCAATAGAATCGTCGTTTGGAGTGCGGTACTTGCTGGTGGAAAAGGGGTACTGCTGCTGCTGCTGCTGCTGCTGGTGATGATGATGATGGTGATGGGTATTGTGGTAGTGGTGTTGATGCCGTCGTTCCACTCTGCTGATTAGCGACTCGACGACGCTGAGGATGTCCGCGTCAAAGAATGTTGTTGTTGATGGTTTTACTGATGGGCTGTCTGGCTGCTTCTCCTTCACCTCAACAACCTCCATGACCTCCACAATATCATCATCTTCCTCTTCGCTGCTGCTGCTGCCGTACTGGCAAATCAAACTCAGGGAGGCCATCTTTTTTTCGTTGGCTGATCTCTTCAAGGCAAAGACGGGGTTGGCTCTTTAACAAAATCAAGCGTGTTTTTGTGCTGAGCCCTCCACGTGACTTTTCTGTACTGTCGTCTACGAGCGGCGTTTGTGTTTATTTTGCTGTGACTTTTCTGGTAAACTGCAGCAAATTGCATCATCGCCATCAAATGTCTTCACTTTTCATCAGAAAAGTCAATCGACGATCATGGATCTTCGGCAGTTCTTTGAGGGCTTCTTTCGACTGAACGAAGAGCTGAGCAGCTTCTTTGACCAGTCAATGTTCAGTGGTGATCATGGGGGCTTCTTTCAGGAACGGGGCGACGTTCCAGAGCCAGGACAAAGTCCGCGTGATATGATGCTGAAAAAGAGAACAGAACGAGCAATTGATCATCGTCACAACCACAATCACCATCAGCAACTTCAACCACACTCGTCAGAGGACCACCGTCCAGGCGACGGATCTTCGCTGATGGACCTGCTTGACAGTGGTCAAAACTTCTTTCGATCTAGTCAGTTCGAGAAGACGTTCAGCGGAGATTTTAGTGGCGGCGGCAGTGTATGTTGACGGGAGTTTTGAGTTTCTAAATTGGTTTATAACTGATTGAACTCTTTCTTCAGAGTGGCATGTTCGAGGAGAAGATTGTCATCCGCAACGGCGACGGCACTGAGAAGGTGATCACCAAGCACTCCGCAGGCGGGCGAACCACTCACCGCGAGGTGACACGACGCGACGGGAAGATCATCGCCGAAAGTGAGGTCGTCTCTGATATTGGCGGTAAGATTCCTTCATCTTCATTCCTGAAGTTCCTAATCCACTCAGTTTCCTCTACACTTGATACAGATGACGTTGGAAAGATTGGCAAAATACCCTTCAATGGTGGTGGTGGCCGAGAAGGCGGTTTTAATTTCGACACCAGTGGAATGCCACCAAAGCCAAACGACAGCGGCGGTAACCGATCGTGGTCCTTTTGGAATTGGTTCAAGTGAACTCCATTTGGTAGCCACCCATTATTTTTTGTGATAAAAACCTTTACTGTACATAATAGAAAAGATAAAAAAGAGGTTTATTGTTGTTACTGTTCTTGATCAGAGGAGAGAGGTCAATTTCCTCAATCGGTTGCTGTTGGTCATCATCATCATCATCGTCATCATCATTGGCGAATGCGAATAAAGAAATCTGATTGGCATTTAATTGAAAGCTTTCAATAGTTTAGCGTTTTCGCTTTGGATGCAAAATGATTTGTTGAGTTGGCAGACAGTGGTTGTGGCAGAGATCACCAACCAACCAATCAACCAACCAACCAACTCACGGGCGAATGCAAAGGCAGCAACAGCAACAGGCAGCACCGCTGATAGGAAGGCCGCTCTTCCAGATCATGTACGCGTAGATGAAGGCGATGAAGGCGGTGAAGAGGGCGAGCAGGCCACCGCCCACATAGCCGGCGATCAGCAGGTAGAGCGCCCAGAAGAGGAGGTTCAGCGCCAGGTTGAAGATGGTGCAGAATTCCTCCAGGTAGATTCCCAACAGGCCGCCCAGCAGGACGACCATGCACATCAGTCGGATGAGCCAGTCGAAGAAGTCGCAGTGTGGACTGTTTTTGCTCGTGCACTGAATCAAGTTGACAATGAGATAAATCAGCACTGCAAATGAGGAGTAGGTTTTGAGATTTAGGCTATTGTCAGTTGTTATTGTCACTTACTGGCTATGACGAGGATGGCGAGGAAAACTCGCATCACAGTGCTACAAATGCCAAAGTACTCAGCGGTGCTGTTCACCTGTTCATTGCTGCGATGCGATTTGCCGCCTTTAGAGTTGTTGTTGCCTTTTGTCTCATTCTTCTTGGCGGAGCTATTTTTGCCGGCCATTCTATGGTATCACAGAACAGGTCTTGGACAAGTGTGACTCGGAAATTAGTTTTGAGAAAAAATAAAAGAAAGTTTGAGGTGTTTTATAAGTGAACAAGTGTAATATTAGTTCGAAAATTGGAAAACAGTCAAGTTGTTCTTTTTTTGTTGTTGTTAATCAACTGGTGTGTTTACCGTTGCTGCAAAAGGATAAACATTTGTGCAATGTGTCAAATTGAATGTGAAGTTTGGTAAACATTTTCAAGTGTGTGTTTTCCTTTACATTTTCTTGCTCGAAATAATAGGCAGCGGCTGTCCGACTGAATTGAAGACCCACTTGTCCAGCGGCAGCACCGAGTCATCGCAGAAGATCAGATAGAGGTACTTCAGCGTGGCGCCGAGGAACTCCGCGTACTGCAGGCGCCCCTGGGTGGGCGGCACCGTGGTGACATCTTCCAGCTCCACGTAGCCGCAGTCAGTGCGACAGTGGGCGTCAATCGCCTGCACCAGCTGCCAGGCGTACTCCCGGTAACGGGCATCGCCGGTCAGGCGGTGCAGGATAAAGTAACTCTCCGCCAGTTCTTGCCTGTAGAAGAGGCAGTAGCTGTGATGAAATGCAAGACTACAAAACAACCGTTGTCAAACCACTTCCACTCACCGCTGAAAGTACTGCGCCGAGCTGTGCCGCGAGTTGGTGGCATCGTCCACCCGGTCGAAGTAGTAGTTGCGAGGCATCAGCCCGTTGGGGGACCGCCTGCCCGCCTCGTGGAACGTCTCGGCGAGCTCCTTTGCTCGTATCAGCGGGCGGTACGCCCGGTACACCTCGCTGTTCCTCGGTCCGCCGTACTCATTTCCTCCCTGAAGAAAGTTCGCCTCTTTGAAGAGCAANTGACCGTCTGCCCGCCTCGTGGAACGTCTCGGCGAGCTCTCTTGCTCGTATCAGCGGGCGGTACGCCCGGTACACCTCTCTGTTCCTCGGTCCGCCGTACTCACTTCCTTCCTGAAGAAAGTTCGCCTCTTTGAAGAGCAAACCCGCTGGTTTAGGCTGGTGGACGGCGTCCAGCGCCAGCACCGCGCTCAGGTAGCAGCCGGTGTTGTTCATAAAGTCGCCGTACTGTCTGCTCTCGTGGTCGAAGTTGCGACAGTAGACCAGGCCGCCGCGGGAGACGGCAAAGAGGCCACCATCCTCGGCGGCGTCCATCAGCCGGTGAAACTGCTCACCGGCCGCCAAGTCCTGCCTTCCCGATTGAATGTACCGCTTCAGCAGGCCGGCAATGTAGTCCCGCGAGGCGCCAAAGAGTGACGTTGAGGAGCTGCACCAGGCGCCGGTTTGCGAGTGAATTCGCTCTCTGCAAAGACCTTTCGTTTTTTCCGCAGCAGTCCGCTTCTCAATGAAACTGCGAATGCGATCGACGCGCCGCTGGAACTCCCGATCACCTGTCAGGTAAGTCAAGTAGGGGTACTCCAGCAGGCCGGTGCCCAGATAGGTCATGTAAGGGAGTGACGCCGCTGGCGACGCCCAGTCGAGGGATGATCATCTCAAAGGGCAGTCCGGTCATGGTGCGGTAGGCTGGCCGGAGGAGGGCGGCAATCTGCCGGGCTCTGGCAAGGAACATCGAATCTTTNCTCGAGCAGGCCGGTGCCCAGATAGGTCATGTAAGGGGTGACGCCGCTGGCAACTCCCAGTCGGGGAATGACCATCTCAAAGGGCAGTCCGGTCATGGTGCGGTAGGCTGGCCGGAGGAGGGCGGCAATCTGCCGGGCTCTGGCAAGGAACATCGAATCTTTGCCGCTGGTGAGTGCATAGCAGGACAGCAGGCCGCCAATGTACTCCGACACCACCTGAAAGACATTCACCGGTCGGATGAGGGCGCTGAAGTGCCACTGAAGCCCGTTGGCCACCCACTCTCGAGCGGTGCGAAACTCCTCCTCCAGTCCCATCACCTTCAGCGTGCTCATCGCATTGACGATAGTCTGGCCGGAGCTGGGGCCGAACACCTCCTGGTGGCCATCTTTGGTCAGCGGGCGAAGCATGTCATGCGGCCAGGCGTACTGTACGTAGCCGTCCCAGGCTAGGCGAGTCATGCGAACCACAAACTCCCGACGTTCATCAGTGGTGGTGGACATGTTAAACTGTGCACAAACACAAAGTGCACCATCAATCACAGAAAAGTTCAGTCATATTTCACTATCAAGCACTCAAGTTCGAAAAGTGTTTTCACAAAATAAAAACTAACGCTGAATAGTGTTTAACCAGCAGTGCAGCTGAGCTTTGTTCAACGACAGTCATAGTAGTACAACTCACCAGCAACAACTTGCAATGAGTAATTCAGATGATCAGTCGACGAATGAAGAGGTGGCGCCCAATGGTGGTCCCAATGAAACTGCAGCGGCGGCGGCTGCAGAAAATGCGCCACCGCCAACTCAAGCGGACAAAAATAGCAGCAACAACAACAGCCTGAAGGGACGCCAATCAGAGGCCAACTCGGACAAGTCCACCCAAACCAGCGCATCGACGGGCTCGCACATGAACGCCA